GGTCCTCCGAGAATAACTCAGTCCAAGACAGGGCATTTTCCTTTCTTATCTCTCTCATAGGCTCTAAACTATGTCGGGAGCTGTCTCTAGAAGTTCTGTTCTCGTAAACCAGCGGTCGTCCTCTGGCTCCTGATAAGCAAATCGGACCTTATACTGTTTCTGTGGACGACCTCTACCTCCTGTTCTAAACACATCTTCACCTACGATGCCGTCAATGTCGTACCTTCTGTCCATGTCCGGAGGGATCATGGACCGTCTAGATGGAAACTGTTGACTTGTGACACACGGCAGCAACTTTGATGCGTGAAACACAGGGTAGGTATGGAGGTGTGCTGGTATCTCTATTGTGTAGGACGGCCCATCCTCTCCGCCCTTTACTTCTAAAACTGGCCACGGTCCTCTATACGCGGGCAGTAACTTCTGCGAGATGTTTTCCTCAGGAGCAAACTCTTTGGACTTGACCCGGACTGAGTCGCCTACTTGGAACTGCAATGGGTGACGGTGCTTGTTGGCTTGTTCTATCATTCTATGCTGGGCCTTCCTGAGGTTTTCCACAACTGTAATTATTTATTTTTCGTGTCGTATTGAGGACTCCCTGGTACCGGGTGGTAGCCTGTGAATCTGATCCCGGTTAAGTCCCTCAAACGGTCTATGTGGTCTAAAGGACTTGTGCGAATCATTGGGAGTGCGACAGGTAGATAAGTGTGCGCTGTTGTTGTATGCACTGCCTACCTTGGGCAACATCTCGTCCCAATTGACTTGATCAGGTCTAATGTTACATACTCATGAATGCATCAACGAGTATGGGGCAGAACCAAAGATCAACCAATATAGGAAGAGCATGTATGCAGCGGAAGTCTGATAAAAGGACTGACTCACATAGACTGACTCACACAGATATCACTCCACACACATACAATCGGGAGATGGTGGGGTCTGAGCCATGCATAGACGATGCTCAGGCCCCGTACACACATACACAGATGAAAGGTGGGAGGAGAGACGAAGGAGGTGGGGGAGGTAGACAGCACCGAAGGTCACCGAGATAGAATCCGATAGGTCACCGATATGGTAGTCCAAAATGTCATCAAACAAGATCAAATGTCGAGGACAATAAGTCACCAATGTCGGAGATAAAGAGTCCTAATGTAAACGGTGTCCGAACTGTGATGCCGCTGAGTATCAACCCCAACAATCTCCAAGTCTCGAATCCGGTAAGTACCACAGCCTCTTACCACCGAAGTCCAACACTGATCTCTGTCCAACTAGTATGAAGTCTCGAATCTGAAGGAGAAGAAGAAGAAGTCTGAAGAAGAAGAAGAAGAAGAAGTCTGAAGAAGAAGAAGAAGAAGTCTGAAGAAGAAGAAGAAGAGATGAGATGGCAGAGGAGGAGGGAGTGAGAGAGGGGGACTGGCGGCGAGAAGGGAGGAGGATAACCTTGCCTCCTGTACCTCAGGCGGCTATGGCCGCCGTGCTACGAAGTCGCCACTGCCGCTGCTCCCTGGTGCTGCTGCTGCGCTACTGCTGCTGCCGCTGCTCCTCGCGCTGCGCTCAAAATAGCATTGGCGCTAACTCCTGGTGCCAACCGAAACGCACCGGCAGAATGCTGGTGGGTCCATCCCTCAGAATGAGGCCGGACCGGTCTTTTGTACTGGTGGGGCAGAGGCCGGCCTCAATGCTGCGAGGCCTGGCCGTGCCCTGAACCGTCGAGATTGACGGTTCAGCCCCAACCGGCGGGCGGCAGCCTCATGAGTGCCGCCAGGCCCAAACGGTAATGTCGTTTGGGCCTGCCCGTCGGGTCTGGTCCCAAAATGTGGCCTTTACGGCCTGCTGTACCCCAAGTCCGGGCCTTTAGGCCCTACTGTGTCCTCCTGGCCCTAAGTCGGGTCCGGTAGGACCCGTGTGGCGTCGAAGATGTAACATCTAATATACATGCGCAGAACTTGCTGCAGGATCTTGTTCATCTGCTCAGTCTGACCGTTAGTCTCTGGATGGCGGCCAGACGATATCAACAACTTGGATCCATAGACTCTCATCAGTTCCTGCCAGTTCTGGCTAGTGAAGCGACTATCTCATCCGCTAACTATAGACAATGGGACTCCATGCTCACTAACCCAAAAATAAAAAACTTCTGAATCACTTATTCAATACGGGCCTCTGCAGGCAAAGGAACAAAAACAACATATTTGCTAAATCTATCAACTATGACCATGACTTGGCTCTTGCCGTGCCTACTCTTGACTTGGGTATCCATAAAGTCAACGGACACTGAGTCTCCGGGCTGGTCTGGAATAGGCAAGGGTCAGAGAAGACCTAGAGGGGCACGCGTGGTGCTCTTGTTTCTCTGGCAAACTTTACAACTGCGGACATACTCTATGCAGTCGTTCTTCATTTCGGGCCATGTATACGCATGCATCAGGTTGGCTAGAGTCTTATGCCAACCGAAATGTCCCTCTGTGTCATGGCATTCCCATAGGATCAGACGACAGATCTCCTCACTGTTGGGAACGCACAGACGGTCTACGACATTAGTCTTCTCAAATAACAACCCCTCAGTAGTGCGGTAATCTGGTTCGGTTTCTGGGGCCTCCTAGACTCTTTTGAGGAGGTCACTGTAAATAGGGTCCTGGGCATAAGCCTGTCTAACTTTTTTTCTGCAGGTCACTCCCTATGTCCTACTGGTCTTTAACTTAGAGCATCCGCAACTATATTGTACTTAGAGCATCCTACTTAGTCTGATCTCCTACTTAGAGCATCCGCAACTACATTGTACTTGCCTTTAACAGGCTTGAGTTCAAGGTCATACTGGTCTATTTCAGCGGCCCACCTAGTCAACTTAGGTGTCATCTTGGCCTGTGTCTTCCAGTAGGCAATGCTTCCAGTGCTGCCTAAGAGCATAGAGTTCCCTCTCATACGTCGAGGTGGCTACCTTCTCTGAGGGCATCCTCGCTGACGTGAACTCTACAGGTCTGTAGCCATTGCCGTCGTCCTGCTGTAACACGGCGCCTATTCCATATTGACTCGCGTCCGTGGTGACGACAAATGGCAACGACGGATCTGCTACTTTGAGGACATGATACTCTATTAACGCGCGCTTCGACTTCTTTAGCGCAGACGTACAGTCTTTATCCCACTGCCAGATTGCCTCTTTCTTGAGCAATCTGCGAAGGGGCGCGACGATAGTGGAAAAGTTCCTCACGAACTTCCTATAGTAGTTAGCTAGGCCTACGAACGACCGCAACTCAGTCAACGTGTTGGGCGTTGGTCAATCTCTAATCGTCGCTATCTTACTGTCCTCAGGCTTAATGCCATCTCCGTCTAACATGTGGCCCAAGTACAGAACTTGTGTCTTGGCCCACCATCACTTCTTCGCATTGATCTTGAAGTTAGCTTCTCTCAGCTTCTCCAGACCTGCCTCAAATGACCCTGGTGCTCTTGGAGGGTCCTACTGAATACTAAGATGTCGTCTAAATACACTACGACAAATCTATCCAACCACGGAAGATCACTCATACAGCGCTGGAATGTAGCAGGCGCGTTGGTCAATCCAAAGGGCATCACTATGAACTCGTAATGCCCATATTTGGAATGCAGTCTTATACTGGTCATCAGGATGGACCTCTATCTGATGATATACGAACTTCAAATCGATCTTCGAGAAATATCTACACCCCTGCACCTGATCTAAGAGATCTCTATCCTCGGCAGTGGTTCAAAATTCTTAACTGTGATCGCATTCAGACCCCTATAGTCTATACACATACGCAACTCTCCTTCCTTCTTGGGGACAAACAAAACTGGTGCTCCAAAAGGAGACGAACTGGGCCTAATCCAACCTTTCTCAAGGAGCTCATCCAACTGCTTGCGCATTCAAATCCTCTAGATTGCTCCCTTAGGAGTTCTACTGCCAGGCTATCTCTATTCTGTGCTGGATCGGCTGCGATACTACTCCTGTCGGTGGCTCTGTCAGATCTTTAAACTCTTCCAACAGCTTGGCAATGGCTGGATCCATGGAACTATCCTCTCTCTTAGGCTCAGTGACAGGTCTGACATACACTACGAAGACCTGATCCTCTAATTGCTCCTTCCTCACTAGTCGTGCGAACGCGGGAGCACTGAGACAGCAATGTGCCAGCGAGTTGTCTACTCCTGACACGTGGAACAGACGGGTTGTCTTAACCTCGCCTGACGGACTAGGGAGCCTACACTCGTGTTCTCTCAAATGAAGTGTGGCTCCTGCTGCCTCTCCCCAGTCCATACCGAGGACTATATCAAAAGGAAGGTCATCCTGAACGAGGAGAGTCAGGGAATGGTGAACTTTCTCCACCTTCCCATCTTTCTCTAGGCCGAAATACGCCTAAACTCCCTCTACGTAGTCCTCGACACGCATAGTGCGGTTGTCTGTTAGGACACTGACTATGGGGTCTTCTAACTTTTGGACTTTCAATCCTAGCCTCAACTTTTTCAGCGCTTTACGGCTAATATAACAACACGTAGCCCCTGCATCTATAAGGGCCCCTACTCTACTCCTAAAAACTTCTACATCAACTAACATTAGTTGCCCTTTACTATCTTTCTTCATTTTGGCTCAGGCTGGCATCCTCTCCTTTAATTCTTCTGCCACACCTGTGAGGGACGTGCCTAAAGAGACGCTAACACAAGCAGTCTCTGGACAGCTAATTAGGCACAGGCCTGCAACCTCTGCCAAAGGCACATGTGGTGTGGGAGTTTCATGTATGCGCGCGCTCGCTTCCCCACATGGCCTAATAGTAGGGGCAGTTGCAACCTCTACCGGCGGCTGCCTTTTGACTCCTGGACAGCCCATCGGGCCTGTCTATACTTATGGCAATATTTTATAATATGGGCAAGGTCACCAGAGTAAATGCACTGCCCCTGCTCCATACGTTGCTGCCACACTTTCTGATCCAGGCCCAAATCTTCCCAAGGCAGGCCTTGTGGCCAGCCTGGGTGCCAACCTCCTGACCTTTGAGGTGACCTACCACCTCGTCGCTGTGGGGACCGACTGGGAACTCGACGATTCTGTGGGGGACCTTGACCCCTACCTCCCACTTGACGGTTCCCTTGACAGCCAACCCCATGTGCGCCCGATCCTCGGCCTCCCGTGGCCTGGCCGCTTTGGCCCCGGCCTCCTCCTCTACTTTGCGGCCTCCCTCCAGCCACGACAGCTGCATAGGACCTCCCCTGACCTACGCTACTGTCCTCCTCCTCGAGTCCCCACTCAATCTGCCAGCAGGGAACCTCGTTTGTACCACCTTCGTCTAAAGTAAGGATCAGATGATCCTTGGCCCTAACTTGGCCAAAGATGGTACGGCCTTTCCACTTTTTGCCCTTGTCTAAGTCCTTGTGCCAGAAACTGGAAACTGGCATGGACTTGGCCTCAAACAAGACCACTTCCCCACTCAACGCGTCATACGTGATGTTAGGCTGTTGGGTCTTGTCAAAGAAGTGCCCTCTCAAGGGCTCTGGCATGGCACGATAGAACAACTGGACCAGCGAGGTGTCAGTGACCCCGTGGTCCGGGACGGCTACTAAGTCATCCATGACAACTTTGAGTGTTCGCGCACTCTTCCACTGTCGCGAGTGGATTTGAAGTTTATCAAAGGCCCTGACGCCTCTTGTGACGTCAGCGAACCTCTCACGCAGGAGTTTGAGAAGAGTGGAAAGAGGGGTCAACCTAGAATAAGCAATCATGTTATGCTCGCAATCAGCGGCGCGCGCAAGGGACCTGGCGAAGCTGGCCGCTTTGTCCTTTAACACATGGAAGGCGACAAGGACCTGCTCCTCGGGGGCGATATGCTGCAAATATACGTATGTATTGATATTGGCCTCCCAGTTATCAAAGCTATCGTCCTTCTCCCCGCTATCAGCGTCAAGGAATTTGAGCTTTACTGGCTCTTTGCGGGGACGTGCTGCGGCCTCTGTTGTGGCCACGACTTTGGCACCTTCATTGGCGCCGGCACATAACTTCTCTGCGGCTTCCTTCAGTTTTTTAAATTCAGTCCCAACCCACGTCGCGCGCGAACTCTCTAAAACCGGACCGGATGGCATGCAAGGTCACATCGTGACCCTTGTTGGCCTGATGCTCCTCAAGCCAGGCCTCACTCATAACCTCGAGGTACCCCAGAATCTTATCTAATTTCGCGGGGGTCTCTACTTGGGCCTGCACTTCTTGTCTGCATGCCCGAACTCTCTTCACCTCTCTAGCCACCCGGTTGACTTCCTCCCTTCTCTTCTTCTCCCTCATCATACGTAATTTCCACTCCAACTTTTTCTCGCCTTCTGTTGTCTGGCGTTCCAGGGGATCCCTTATCGCTTCCAACTCCCTAGCGAACGCTTCCCTCTCCTCCTGTGGCACGTACAACAGTGCCTCTTCGTCTTCCCCCAACGATAGGTTAGCCAACAACTCGCTAATCTTTTTCTCCATCCATTTGTCCTCCTCCTTCATGCCACTTGTCTCTCCTCTGTCTTCCCCTCGCCTCCTTTCAAGGGGTTCTTCTTCCACTTCCTCCTCTTCTTCTGCTACAACTTCTTCCTCAACAGCCTTCCTCCTCTCTTCCTCCTCCTGCTGTAATATCATCATCTTCTCCTTCTTCCAACTTCTTCTCCTTCGCCGCCTGCTCCTCTGCTATAGCCTTTAGCTTCGCCTACTTGAGGAGCTCTTTCTTCTCTTTCCTCTCCCTCAGGATGGCGACGATCTGGGCCTGCTCGGCCTAGAATTGGGGGGCAGTACTCTTCCCACTACGGGTGTCAACCATGGTGACTGGTGTACAACCGGACAACGGTTCCACTCCTCACCACTTAGACTCTACTCCCCCTGACTGACAAACCTTCTGACTCGATCTAAGAACTTACAGAATCCGGACAGGATCCTGTCAACTAGGATCTCTAGCCTAGACCTACTCTAAGGCTGTCACTATAAGACCTGTTGCTGATCAGGAGGCATTTAAGGAGATCCCCCGTAACTCCTCAGGAATTATTTAACGTGGCAGACAGGACGACGCGATCAGCAGGCCTTCTCAAGACTTAGACGGCCTATTGTGTAGCCCACAACTCGGATTTTGGGCCCACCGTGCCACACCGAGCAGCCCGCCGGTTAGTACCGGTCCTTGGGAGGGTTTGTGTCCTCCGGGACAATCGAGTCATCATGTCCTCCGGGACAATCGAGTCATCAGACACAGTCTTTAGCCCTACTCAACCCGTGTGGGTTTGGTCAACAAGGCCCTATCCTTCATCCACAGAGTTCCTATCACCTGGACAGAGGAGACTCAATGCAGAAAGAAGAGACAAACAGACTTAGATTCATTGACTTCAGTCAATGAATAACTGTCTTGACGCCAGCTTTGGCTGGATTTAGGCTCGCCAGAGTTCACTCATCAAGTACCATAGCGTGTGTGCGCATCCATAGGGCAAGGGGAAAGGCTGAAGGCTTGGTGAGATTATACCGGCTCCAACTTGGTCAAACTCGTGGTCAACAGCCTTGGTCAACGCCTTGGTCAACGATGCAGTCAACCCCCGGTCAACTCCCG